TTAATGTTAACCTGTATTATCTTAATGAATAAAACGATTCATGTCTGCCATTTATTTGTTACAGGAAGAAAAGAAAACAAGTTCTTCAACTCCTAGAAGTAATGGAAATCTTTGTAGCAGTTGAAATACAAGCTTCCTTCTCATTCATGAGCATGTTTGAGAATGTCGGAGACCATGTTTTGTGTAACTTGTGTCTGGTGAAAGCTGTTACCGATTTTTGGGCTTCTTTTAAATGAAGCAAAAACTGATGATCAGCTGTTTCAACAACATCCATGAGTAAATGTATTCAGTAAAAATTACAATAAAGAAAGAAAAGATCACAACTCTGTAAAACATGCAGTATTTTTGGAATAAAATGATTGTAGGCAAAATTTGCACGTTTTTGTTCTAGGATGAAGAGGAAGTATAATTTATGTAATAAAGGGAATGTAATTTAGAGCATCTTTTGTTTGAGGCATCATTCGTTCTCTGAATTCATTGTAAGCTTGTAAAACATTTTATATATTTAGCTTTATAATCAAAAATTGGAAAGTTAAAAGGAAACAAGTAGTAAAAGCATGTCTCCTATTATTAAAAGCCTTAAAGGAAATTGTTAATCAAGCATCAATACAATATTTCACCATTGTAACACCGGAACTGGTACTTTGATGTATTCACTTTCTAAAAGTATATAATTATATAATATGGATTTCTTCAATATAAATTAAATTTCCCGGGGACAGATAACTTAAAACAAGAAAGATGCAAGCTACTGAGTTTTGTCACTGTCATATTTCGTTGTTTCCAGAAATGTGGTTGATATTTATGTCAAAGATACTATGTTCAATAATGATATGCCTCCTATACAACCAAACGGCTGGTTTATATATGTGTAAATACATGTACGTCCAATTTTATTTTTAGTTGTATCCAGCAATTTCATTATTAGAAAAAAGAAAATTTGATTTTTTCAAAAAATGGTTTGGTATTGTACTATCATTGGCATGCAATATAAAAAAAAAATATGGAAAAAAAGTATTTTGTACAGTGTTTCATAAGCGACCTATTATCATGTGATAATAAAAATTTACAAAGCCCACTGAGAATCTTTATATCAACTCTACAGTCTGGTTCTTAAAATTCATTTTGTATATAAGCACCGAGGTAGGTATAGAAAGAACAAATTCTTATACGGGTACACTAAGAGATGATTCATGTTTTTGTTTTTCAATGTCAAATTAAAATGAATGAATCATTACCCCTTTTTTCTTCTCTTAGCGATAAAACAACAAGTGAAATAATTAGCCTCCTTCCAGATTATGGCATTTTTATGAACTTAATAGGTGGCTCAAGGTTTCAAAAAAAAAAAAAAAAAAAAAAAAAAAAAAAGGCAATATCGGTAAGTTACGCTTACTGCCGCGTAAAAGCAGGTACATATGACTTTCCCTCAGTCTCTGTATGTCAAGAGCTGACGAAAACGAGGGCATCAGATTGTGAGCATGCGCGTGAAGGATTACCACGTGAGGGTGTTCGGATCCTGTTAAATTGCGATCAATGCCAATGAGGATGTAGAGATTTGCCCATTATTTTAAGAATTGTTTTCAAGTGAAAGCGGAAATGTAAGTTAATGATGATTTTTATAGCTTAACATAGTTTATTTCGAAACCTCGTAGAGACCGACTTAATTTCTTAAATTTACACTCCACTGTCGCGACCACATTTTGGCACAATTTACTACTACATCACAATCGGCTTATAACGAAGTGTAGTCTGTTTCTGAAGGATGTGGTAACATTACTCATAATATTATTTCCTCATATCCAAGAGTAAGCTGCTATAGAGTCAGATACATCTATTTCATATTTAGATCTTTTACTGACTATAGACGATAAATAGAGAATAATACATGGCAAAATCTGTATCACACCCCATATCAACCCGAGACTTCAATATCAGCCCGAGGGCCGAAGTGTTCTGTTTTTGTTGAATTTCCATTTCTCATTTTTTTCCCAAAGGCATTACATTCAGTGATAAGAAATGAAATAATTACAAATTTAAAAAATAATTATTTTGAACAACATTAAATACCCGATGAAATAAGATTACAATTTAAATAAACTTCATTAACAATTAAATTAATAGAAAAAGATCCGAGGAACTCCGAATGAAAAATACAGAGATGTTCCGGATAGGTGTAATAAAGGGTGTGATAAAGGGTAAAATAAAGGGTGCCGATACAGGGTGTGTAATACAGGGCGCGTGCCTGTGTTCATATCAGGGATGCAAAAACCCTGTATTATATTACAAATATATAATAAAGGCCAATTAACAACTATAACTTGTGCGACAAACGAATGTTCATTTATTTGTTATTTAAGAACGTAATTTATTCATTTATGGTCTTTGTATACATATTATTGCACATACTTTACGAGCGCCATTAGTATAAACACTATGTTTTCACAGGCTGCACAGTCCAGTCCGATGGATTTTAAAGGATGCAGATTTCTGGATTTTTCTTTTTTACAAATAGGTCGAATTTTTAAATGCATCGGTACATATACTAGTGTGTCATACATTACGACCTTCCATTTTCTTCATTGAAAGAAAAACTTGCCGATTATTAGTAAAGTTCTTAAATAACAAATAAATGAACAAGTTGATTCACAGTAAATGGACTGATTTTAAAGCATATACCTGATTATCATTTTATTTTATTCTACTGGGTATACGCCCCTTGCTCTTTTAATTCCTCCGGTGCATCTGGATTAGGCTTATATCTGCAATGCAACCAAAGAGCGACAACTCTCCTATTCGAAAGACGTATCAATTGAGATAACATAGGGCATAAACGTCACAAGTTCCCTTCCTGCACTTTTAAACCCTGAGTCTTTATAATTGAAGTTATTGTAGCAATTTTGAAAGTGTTCTTTGAAGCAATTTCGGCTGACCTGTACAAAAGTATTGGATGGGATCCATGATTTCAATGTGGGGATGCATCCTCACGACGTCAGGGGTCCTGCATTTTACCTGGTAAACTTCAAGAAATACTAATAACATTTAGAATTTCAAACCACCACTTCCCAACTGAGACTGGTAGATGGTCAAATATTTCATTAGATGAAAGATTGTGTACATTGTATACTGTACCTCTTGTTCCACTGATGTTGGTGTGAGTGAAATAAATGAATTTGAACTTGAGTCCGCATGTGGCCGTGAAACCCCTGAGGTTTTTTTTCTCCTCTTTTGGAAGGGGGGGGGGGCAGCTTCTCTCCATGAGAAGCACTTATAAAATAAGGGCTTTTATAAGTTGATAAAAAGGCCACTCGTGAACCTCCGACGTTGTGAGGATGATGGGGATTGGGGATTTGGCAGAGTTAAAAAAAAGGAAATTGTACAGGAATGTTAAATAAAGTTTCTGAGTAAAAACAGTGCATTATTTTTCACGTTTGTCCGGCCCTATTTAAATTGTCAAGCGTCAGTTTATAATAAATATTTCTTTTGTGAGCCTAAGACTCTTTCATGGTCCTCGGGCCATCTCTCTCTCTCTCTCTCTCAAGAGAAAGAGAGAGAGAGAGAGTATTGGTTCCTATCTTATGCTATATACGTAACAAGAAAACATCATAATGTTTATAACAACCTGTGGCCATACACAGTTAGAAATAAACCAAAGTATGATAAAATAATATCACACGTATGATTTCAAGTGTGTATATGAGACTGCGAGAATAATTTTATTCATGTAGGGAAGATACATTTTCCAAGAAATCAAAATGCATTCTTGATCATGCTTATGTAGTATTTTGCTATTTGATATTATTTGTCATGAAACTTTTATTTTATCTTTATCTATATCTATAAATATTACTGGAGGAATTTGTGTTCGAATATGCAATTTGTCTTCCAAGGCTCTTCCTGCAAAGATTATTATAATTTTTTTTTTTGGTTTAATATATATAGAAATAAAAATTTTAATTTCCGAAAAAATGCATAAGTATAATACATGCACTGTTAACAATAATATGACTAATTCAGTGGAACCTAAAGTTTATAATTTAGCTCTTGTTAATGAGTAATATTTTAAAATCTTTAGTAAGTTAATCTTACCGATTTTTTTTTCTTTCAAAGATATTTACTTCAAGAAATCTCGTTTGATTGCCAGGACTTTTTTTTGGTTGCCTGAAATATGCTATATCTTATACGAAATGAAATGAATTAATAATATATAAATTTTAACTCTTCTCCTTTTCAAAGTTTCGATTGACGGGACGAAAAAATGAAAATCTTCACAGTTTTTGTCATTTATTGTAAAAACTGAGTAAAATAGTTTATTATAGTGACATATGTCATGCACAATCACAATAAAATACACGTATAATAGGATTTTAAACACCCGGCCCATCGGGCCTTTGTGTTCACTTTTAACAATATGTAACATTCAATAAAGATACAGTGATATTACGCACGACATTTACTATATATAATATAATATAGACTGTCTTTTAGTATATGCTGATCAAAATAAATAAATAAATAAATAAATAAATAAATAAAATAAAAAATAATAAATAAATAAATAAATAAATAAATAAATAAATAAATAAATAAATAAATAAATAAATAAATAAATAAATAAATAAATAAATAAAATAAAATAAAATAAAAATGCAGTAGATTTGTATTTTTATTTAATATTTTAATTTAATGTATTTTCAATAAATGTACAATGATATGGTGCTTTGATCAATTGTCATTGCATTGGATTAGAGTAAAACATTTCTTAAAAATTAAATTAAAAATATAAAAGAACACTTTTCAAAAGTGTAGAACAATCAATTTCAATAATCATTAATTAACCTGTGACAGATCTGATGCAATGATATCCTTTATAAGAAAACGCATGATGAAATCAGGAAAACTCCCAATAGCTAACATATTAAAGTTGGCCTAATTATTTATAAATACCGTCCAGGGAGAGGTGTGCGTCATTCGTCCAATGAAATTGCTTCGTTAAGTCAATGTCAAGTTCGTTTGACGGCGATTATAAACAAGTCCGGATTGAATTTTTGCCTGTGATCGATTCTCACTGAAATGGATAACGGAATTTCTCCTGCCAAAAAACAGAAAGTGGCCAACGGTGCCAATGTAAGTAGTGGTGTCATTTCAGGTTTCCAAAATATTCTTTTTTTGCACGAAACATACACTTAATTTATGTCCATTGTGTGCTCACGCAATACACTTAAACAGGATCTTTTCTACTGGATAACGTCCAAGTCATTGATTATTTTGTATAACAACATTTTACATTGACCGACTCCGAGGTATTACTGTCAATGCACTATGCTCCTTTCAAAGTCGAGCCCTTTTCTGCTTTGTTAGTCTACATGTTTACTGTGCAATATCCGATCGATTTGATAGTGCACAATTGTTTTAATAACATGTTAATTAATGCATTATCGATCATACTTTATGTTTGGGCTGGGCTATATTGGGTTTAGTAAAAATACATGTTATATCTCTCACAAAATAGAATGAATTAGTTTTTGTAAACATGAACATATGGCCTCGTTTTTGGATAATACGTAACACATTTTTGACAATTGATAATTTTCATACGAAATGCTGATTTATATAATTTTAAAAATGTATGATATTGAATTTATTTTTCTTTCGTAAGAGATGGAATCCCCCCGCCCCTATATTTCAACACGTTCAAGGAGGCAATTAGCACTGAACCCGAACTTGACAAATTCATTCAAAAAATTAATTCAGGATGTAAACTTTCACTATTTTTTTTTAAATTTCATTTAAATATTTATTTTAAATTTAAAACTAACATGGTATTTGAGAAAAATTTAAATATGAAGGTATAAACGATTCATGGGAGCCCGATTCGTTTTGTATTTGGCAGCATTTGCATATGGTATCTGAAATTGTCTGGCTTGTCACAATTCTGGCACATATACGAGTTATTTATTACACTGCGGTGTTAATAGTTTAAAAACTCTGATCCCTGGCACGGCCATCGGAAACAGCTATTTGTGTCCTCAACCTCTCCCGCATGTACATTTTTTTATTTCAACATGTCACTTTTGCTTGTAAATAAATAGTGCCCGGAAACATGTATAATTTTTATGTTAACTGGATGGTACAAACTAAGCATGGATATGGACACGTTTTCTTGTTGAATTTTTAAGCATGTAAGTAACTGAGTAAGTGACATCTGACAAGTCGACATAATAATCTTAAAAGTCGAAATAATTATCTGACAGTCGACATAATAATCTTACAAGTCGAATTAATTATCTGACAGTCGACATAATAATCTTACAAGTCGAAATAATTATCTGACAGTCGACATAACTGACTAGTGATGGCAGAACTATGCCACCATAAGTGGAGACAGTTTTCTGACAAGTCTACATAATATTCCGACAAGTCTACTTTCTGACAAGTCTACATAATTATCTGACAAGTTGACATATTTATCTGACAAGACGTCACATATTTCGCACAAGTCTTCATAATGTCTGACGAGTCAAGCCCTCCAGAAGCTCCTGTATCCCCCCCCCCTCCCCCAAAAAATGTTCTTTACACTCTTTTGTCGGATGAATTATTTGTTTTCAAAGAAAGAAACATGATTTTTTAATTGTCAATTTTAGTTTGTGGGGGGTGGGGGTGGGGGTGAGGGTGGTGGTGGTGGTGGTGGGGGGGGGGTCTCTGCCACTGGTCAATCCTTGTTAACAAGATATATTGAACAAGTTTGAAATGTATTTAACGAAATATTACAAGAGTTCAATTTATACACGCAGTTCTCTATTCCCTAAAAACCAAAATTATGGTAGACCAAGTAAAGTACAAAAATGTACATACATACAGGAAATGTAAGCGAACACTGTGTGTACAACCTTAATTAATTCATCTCTTTCTCATCAGTCACCCTAATTTTGTGTTTGTTCATTAAAATGCAGACAAACTTATATAAGCCAGCGGTAAACAAAATTAACTTGGAGATATTTATTTTCTGCATCTCAAACTATAATTTGATATTAAAAAAAAAATCTCTGGAAATGAATTTGAAATAAACATTTCTTTTACCACAACATTCCTCTATTCTGACTTGAAGTAATTTTTATTTAATGTCAAAATTGGAAAACAGACATAATGCTTTATATAATTATATCAAATTGAAAAGATGTTAACGGTCTTAGAGAGCAGTGTTTGAAATTATTCAGTGTTTCTCAGCATTGAATATACAGGTCATGGGTATTTGACGATTTTTTTTTGTTTGGTAAGACTAAAATGATAATTATAATCATGATAATATCATACGCTCTACCTTTACTAAGTGAAGTTTTATCTTTTTAAAAATGAAATTATTCCTTCTTTTGAGAAAATTTTATTTTATTTGAAAGTCTTTGCATAGCGAAGATTTTAATGCACATGTATTTCTCTGCATGAAATGGACTTTGAACTAATATTTCCTATTTTTCTTTTTTTTTTTAGAATGACTCCAAGTCGGAGAAGAATAGTTACCTTAAGGTCCAGAAGGACCCAGAAAACAGTGTCAGCATTTTCTTCTCCCTCCCAGAGAAAGTTGGTGCCTTGGCCCAAATTCTGAAAATCTTTGAGGTACATGTTCACTGGAATGGTAAATTGTTGAATGACTGTAAAGGTCTGAGTGGATTTTGAATTTTTCAGAGTATATATATATACTACTCATGAAAGTCAATTAAGAACTGAGATACTGAAGAACAAGGAACGAGTCATTCTGTTTTTAATACCATTGTATATATGCCTGTTCTTCTAACGGTGGATGACCATGGATTACAGCTTTGCTATCTGTAATTGGAATGAACTTTAATAGAATATTGTCACCTTTGTTAAAATTTACTATGAATTCAATGTTACGGGGATATACAACACAATTTTAACCTGTAAATACATGTATTTATTTGAATGAACTACTAGTATAACATACGAGGGCTGATCAAAACGTTCGTGGACATCGTTCGTGAATCCTTATTATATATTCAACTTAATGCTTTTTATATTTACAAAACTAAATAAAATAAAACAAAATGAAATAATATAAATAAATAGAAATAATAACAATTCTATTAATAAAAAAATTAAATGAAACAAGTATGTATCCTCGAACAACATCAAGACCTGGTGCAGCACGTCTATCAATTTTAGACGACAGCAACGTCATGAACAGTTTTTTTTTTTTTTTTTTTTTTCAAAATACTAGTATTTCCCATTCTCTTTGATACATCTATGTTGTCGGCCATCCACATACTAATACAGATTTAGAATTTTCCGGGTTTTGGTAACCAAGTTTTTGTAACATGAAAAACATCGTTTTTCGACCCCCATTTAGCCACAGTGAGAAAATGAAAATTCGGAAACCTTACTGTACATCTGCAGAACACCCCCAAATATCTTGAAAGAAATGACAGGGCTGCTGCATAAATTGTAAGAGAAGTTTTGGGAACCAGATTCTATTAAAATGAAAAATATCGTTTATTGAAACCTAGGGTGAAAATGAAAATTTCAATTACAACCTTATTGCACATCTACAGTACACCCCCAATCATCATGCAAAAGATCAAATGGCTACTATGTAAAATGTATTCATGAGGAGTTCTGGAAAGCAGGTTTTTGTTAAGAAAAAAAGAGAGGATATTTTCAATTTTTTGTACTTTTTTATTTAAAATTATTAATTATCAAACTAAGTTAGTAATTGATAATATGTGTATAATGATATTATAAGAACCAAATTTAAAATAAAGCGATTTTATCGCGTCAGTCCACGAACTTTATGATCACCCTATCCCCTATCCTCGTATGTCTCATAATATTGAGGGTCATATTTCGTCAAATTCACGACACTCTCCCGAAAGAAGTGGAAACATCCAATTTTGATTAAAACATTAAGTTGATAATGACTTTTTTTTCTCTCAAAAATCGTCCCACTTAACTCCATTCCATTTGCTGCAGATGTATTAGACAAAGAAATACAAAATTTTTATGCATATTCTCTTACAGGAACGCCAAGTTAATTTACATCACATTGAATCCCGACCTTCCAAGCAAAGCAGCACAGAATTTGAGTTCTTCGTGAGTTGTGATAACAAGACTGGTGGCCTTAAAGAAGCTCTGGAACAAGTGAAGGGAATCGCCAAGACATTCCGAGTATTATCAAGAAAAGCAGGGGAATATCCATCTGAAGATACCGGTAGGTGGCGCGGTGTGTTGATTGACAATCCGCATCGCAGGCTCTACTGATCAATTTCAAAAATATCAATCTTACCCTTTACTTTTTCGGACTAGATAAATTTTATTTTTCGACATTTAATTGGAAACTAAAATCCATTTGTGTATTTTTTTCACTCAAGTTTATAATATAATAAGTAGTGAATACATTAAATCTCCCTTATGTTTTTCCTGGTAAAAGACAGGATTTTTTATGTCCCCGTAATCGATTCGGGGCATATAGTTTTTGCCCTGTCTGTCTGTCTGTCTACCTGTCTGTTTGTCCGCAAAAACTTTAATCTTGCCCATAACTTTTGATTGGTTGGAGCTATGGTTTTCGTATTTCATATGTGTATTCCTTGTGACAAAACCTTTCTTTGGGTACCATAAAATTTGACCTTTTGACCTTGACCTTGGAGTTTGACCCACTTTTGCAAAATTTTTTCAGACTTTAACCTTGGCCATAACTTTTGAATAGTTGGTGCTAGGGCTTTCAAACTTCACATGGGTATACCTTGTGACAAGACCTTTCTTTTGATACTAACAACTTTGACCCTTTGACCTTGACCTTGGAGTTTGACCTACTTTTGGAAAAAAGTTAACCTTGGCCATATCTTTTGAACAGTTGGTGCTAGGGCTTTCATACTTCACATGTGTAATCCTTGTGACAAGACCTTTCTTTCAATACAAAAAAAAATGACACATTGACCTTGACCTTGGAGTTTGACCTACTCTGAAAAACTTTAACCTTGGCCATCACTTTTGAAAGGTTTGTCCTAGGGTTTTCATACTTCACATATGTAATCCTTGTGACAAGACCTTCCTTTGAATACCGACAACTTTGACCCTTTGACCTTGACCTAGGAGTTTGACCTACTTTTGCAAAACTTAAACCTTGGCCACAACTTTGGAATAGTTCTTGCTAGGGCTTTCATACTTCATATATGTAATTATTTTGACAACACCTTCCTTTGTATACCAACAACTTTGACCCTTTGACCTTTGACTTTGACATACCTCTTGAAAACTTTAACCTTGGCCAAAACTTTTGAATAAGTGGTGGTAGGGCTTTCATACTTCACATATGTAATCCTTGTGACAAGACCTTACTTTGGATACCAACAACTTTGACCCTTTGACCTTGGAAATTGACCTACATTTGAAAGACTTAAACCTTGCATATAACTTTTGAAGGTTGGTGCTAGGGCTTTCATATTTCATATGTGTATTTCTTGTGAGAAGGCCTTTCCTTTGGCACCATCAATTTTGACCATTTGAACTTGACCATAGGCTAGATGTTTGACTTACTTTTGAAAAACTTTAACCTTTTCCATATTTATTCAATGGTTGCTACTGGGGTTTTCATATTTCACAGGTATATTCCTCGAGACAAGACCCTACTTTCGGTACCAACATATTTTAATTGCATTTGAAAAAGTTTAACCTTTGTTATGAGTTGTCATACGGGGGCATCAGTGTTTCACAAACACATCTTGTTTCAAATGTTCTCCACCTAATACCCAAACACAATATCTATGTTCATTGATTCTTCTCTCTTTCTGAAGGGAGACAAATACAAATGATTCTTTTTGCTTCTTAGCCAAAATTATTGAATTATTAAAAATCACACGGTTCTTCCATCTCCCGAATTATTTTGTTAGAGGAAAAATGTATCAAAATGCAGTGTAGCGACTGAGATATTCAGAATACATTAAAAATAATGTGTGATGAAGCATCCGTTCACAGAAATAAATCAGTGTAAGTGGGATAGTTCCTTTCTCAAACCCGCGACAGGAACTATTCCCAAAGGGCTTGAAATCGAATGCTGCCGGTGAATAGTTCCGGCGATATTTCACCATAGGCAAATAGCACAAAACACTATTTCACGACAGAGGCTGCTTAGAAAAAAGTAACAGGGTCTATTTTTACAGAATAACGATTTTAATTGTGAGTCAATCGCTCGGTAAAATCAATAATCATAACGGACCATTTCATTTTTAAAAGTCATTCTGCAATGATTTTATCTGCCTCCTGAAAAGACAATCTCTTTAAATGAATATCTTGCCCTATTGATTGATTTAATATTTCTTTGTTCTACTTTGAATATGATTTTGAATAAAGGCTCAATATTATAACTTTATATATTATTTTTCATTCAGAAAGGGAAAATACAGGTAATGATATTTTTATTGTGTGATTCGGAATTAATAATTTTCTCTCAAAGCTAACATTATCACACATTTATAGATCTCTATCAATGAGTAGTTACATACATATACCACCATACGTATACGTACTTTTTGCCAAGAACGGATGAAGACAGAAAAGGTTACCTTAGCATATAGCTAGATATTCTTACAGAACTGACATGCATTATGTTGTCATTATGAAAAATGCATGTAATTTTCCATTTCTAGATTAAATAAAATAAAATTTGGTAATTTAAGGATGACGTTTACTCAGATGACAAAAAAATTCTTTGATAAAAATGAACCACCTATTGTACATTGCAGACCTATGATTGTAATGCTTTAATTCACTTTCAAATAACTGGTCACTTTTATGCTAGTGACCTCTGACTATTTTTTTGAAAATCCATCACAATTTTACACTATGACCCATAATTTCCTTATTAAAGCAAAATATTAAGTATAAAATTAAGTATTATTAAGTATTAAAGCTCTCTGGCTAATGAAATATAAGAAAAAAAAAGACAGTGTTGCTAAACAGAAATAAAAAGTTAAAGCCTGAACAAAATACGTGTCAATTACTCCCGTTTAAATTTCTTAAATTTCTGAATTTTTAGCTCACTTGAGCTGAAAGCTCAAGTGAGCTTTTCTGATCACATTTTGTCTGTCGTCCGTCCGTCTGTCTAGCCGTCTAGCCGTCCGTATGTCTTTAAACTTTTCACATTTTCGACTTCTTCTCCAGAACCACTGGACCAATTTCAACCAAACTTGCCACAAAGGATACTTGGGTAAAGGGAATTCAAGTTTGTTTAAATGAAGGACCACACCCTCTTTAAAGAGGAGATGATTAGGAATTAGTGAATATTTGGTGGCATCTTTTAAAAATCTTTTTCCGAAGAACCGTTTGGCCAAAAAAGTTGAAACTTAGGTGCAACCTTCATAAACCCCGTGGGTAGGGTGGGGCCACAATGAGGATCCCTGCATAGGAATATAGTAAAAAAATCTTTAAAATTCTTCTTCTCAAGAACAGAAAAGCCATTATTAGTCATATTAATCAGAAGCATTCTTCGGTAGTGTAAATTCAAGTATGTTCAAATTATAACCCCTTGCGGTAGGGTAGGGCCTTAATGGGGGATCAAAGTTTTACATAGAAATATATAGCAGAAAATCTTGAGAAATCTTCCTCTCAAGAACATTAAATTTATGATAAGTCATATTGATATGGAAGGATCCTCAGGTAGTGAGATTCAAGTTTGTTCAAATGATGGCCTCCCGGGGGTAGGAGCCACAAAGGGGAATCAAAGTTTTACATAGAAATATATATATATAAAAATCTGCTGATGAAGAACAGGGCCATATTGACGCAGGTGAGCGTTGTCGTCCATTGCTCTCTTGTACAAATTGTGTAATATATAGAGAATATTACATACTAAAATCCATATCATATGTCATATCAGCCCGAGTGGCCCCATATCCACCCGAGGGCCAAAGACCCGAGGGCTGATATGGGGCCCGAGGTCTGATATGACATATGATATGGATTTCAGTATGTCGTATTCTATTTATCATATATCTAAAATACTTAATATGCGAGTTCACATAAAGTCATTGAAGAATGTTTCGTGCTTGTTTATGAACTTTTTCTTTAAAATCTAATAGAGCCAATTTTAGGTATTTGAAAAAAAAATTAAGTCACTAATGTTATTAAAGAATTATTTTACATGTATATTTAAGTAAAATCAAGTTAATTAATTTTTAAACTTTAAACAAACGTTACTTCCGGTTTGATATGGATTTTTTGCCCGCCGGTCCGATACGTGATATTGATTTTCGGACCGGTCCTTGATATGGGGTATTGTGACGTCACCCGTATAGCACAGTGCAGAATCGGTGTATTTACTACTAAGTATATGATAAAGTTATATACACAAATGGAAAACATACAATAGAAATGAAAAAAAAAATAGAATACAAATGGAAAAGATATATTGCAACGTTTGACATGCTATACGTTTAGGATAAAGAAATATTTGTTAAAAAAAAAAATGAATCCGTATTTCTTCTGCATTACTATAAGTATACCTTTGTTGTTGATTTTGTTTTCAAATTTCAAAATGATAAATTTCAGTATTTTCAATTATTTAATTTAGTAAATAATTATTTTGGACGTTTAAGTAATTTTTCATTTCATAACAATCTGTTTCTATCAATGAAAATCCTTATAAAAACGTCATCCTTAAATGATTGAAATAAATGACTATTAAATCTTGCATAAGATACAGCAATTTGATATCTTAAATAAAGAGTTTAACAAAGAGAGGCCGTTATGTTATACACAGATATTAAATATTGTCAACTTCGTAATCACATGTATTACAAGATGCATGTAATGTACATATTCGAACAGATTGTAAAAATAAAATTCTATGTTCTAGACGAACACTGTTTAAACCCAAACATAAAACATTTTAGATAAGATCGTTTACCTTTGTCCAGTCTTTGTCTTCTGTGAGTGTTTCTTTGTTGTAATCCTCTCGTCAACTCTTTATTTATATCTTTTATTACACGTGTTTATTATGTTATAAAAAAAAACTCTTGAAGAACTATATATGATGGGCAAATGTCAGTCGTATGATAGGCAAATGTCAGTCGTGAAATGTAAAGTTTCAGAATTTATTCTCAGTTTTTTTTTTAAATTAAATCTTAACACGTAATAATTGAAGATAAAGAATATTCTTAGAGTTGTTAAATTTTAGCAATGTTAAGTATTCTTTTTAAATATTATAGATCCTACCAAACAAGGTAATTTCTGATAAATATAGTTTAACATATTTTGAACATACGATTGTTTTAGTATGTTTAATTTCTTACATGATCATTACATAATGTACATATTGTAAGACTGTTTTGCAAATACTTTTTACAATAATGACGTACATGTACATAGCTTCCCACTAGTTGAAGTATTTTTACTGGTCAAGGTAGATGAAACACAAGAACACAGCTCATGCTTTAACACTGTTACAGTGTGTATTTTTATTATATTCACAGTAGGCACTATTATTGAAATAATGCGGGGTTCAATGTAAAGGGAAAATTGCAACGTACAGTGTATATGTATACTATTTAAAACGAGATGAATATGTTTAACGTATGTTCCATATATATTAATTATATAAATTTTACGTAGTATGTTCGTTATATGATTGAAACATGTTGAAAAAATTGACGAGTTGAACTTATGTTGAAATATTTAAGAAAGATATTTCAATTTTTAAAATTCAAGAGGACAAATTTCAAGAAGCTCATTAGCGCTTCATCAAACTTATGTACGAGTGAACGTCGTGCCAAGTCACATCATCATAAAAAAAGTCGAACTGAAATACATGTATACATGTAGTATGACATGTTTATATCATCCTTTTGATGCGATACTTGATTTTTTTGGTTACAGGAGTTGCATTACATGTATATGATATAAATGCTACATTTCAGAATACTAAATAGTCATCAGAACCTCATTGTATTAATATAAAAAATATAAATACTTATTACAATGTACATATATATAAAAATCAGCATTTAACTTTATACAGGTATATATAGATTAACAAAAAATCATATTAGATATTAAAGAACATTTTTTGTGGCAATGTGTCTCTAGCAAGTTTTACCTTTTTTTTTTCATTTAAAATTTTGCAATTATGAAAGTCATTTTTGCAATAACTCAGTGGTCATCTTAATATATACAGAGCATTGTTATTTCTTTTTGCACATAATAAAACTATTTTCAGCCTATAAAGTCATCGTTTGTTATAGCTGTACTTTCATAAGAAAATACGGATGACTTACCTTATCTCACCTGTAAAATGAATATCACAATATTATTTAATATGAAATCTTTAAACATAATTAATAAAAATGTGCATTTAATGTTCAAAGTATTCAAAACGCCCAAAATGAACTCAAACTATTGTATGATGAAAATATATAATCAATTACAAAAAATACTCCTGGTAATTATGTTCATTGTGCTTTATTTCACAATGCTTTATTGGTTCAAAGATTTAAACAAAATGTATTTGAATATTTAATTTGAGTCTTTCTCTGTAGCTCCTTGGTTTCCCAAGAAGATTTGTGAGTTAGACAGATTTGCAAACCAGATCTTGAGTTATGGATCTGAACTGGACGCTGACCATCCTGTAAGCATATTCTGGTACACAAGACTTCTTAAACTGTTCGTGTAATTCAAGTGAACATGTAAACTGTGAAAAACTTGTACAATATTTACGTAATACTTATGGCATTAATTGCGGATCAAGCATATGCAGGAGTAAAAACACAAAAATATTTGAAATAACGTTTTGAAATTTTTATTCAGAAAAGAAAGGAGGAAGCACTTATTGCAGTCGATAGCATATAGCTTAACGATTCTTCATCCTTATTGACTTTTATCTGAAATATTTGAGGTATATTTACATGTACAGGATTCATATATAGACTGAATTAAAATTCCTTAAAAAACTGGCAAAGGTGTATGAGAGTACATGTATTTAGCAGTTTAGGAGAAACCATTTTACCTAGACTTTGACGTGGGACATAATTGTTTTGCTTGTATATATTTTGAGCATAGCTTTCCGTTTTGAAATCTGTAAATTGAAGATGCATGATGAACATAAAGTATAGTTACTGCTCCAACAACTTAAAAAAAGGAATACAAAATTGATATTAAAATATCAATTCTTTTTCTTTTATACATATATTAATTAATTTAGAATAGAGGCATTTAAAAAAGGGAAAAATTTCATTTTATTGTTGCATTATTATAGGAATAAGTAGGATTGTGTTGTAGGTTTCTATTTTGTTTACAGGGATTTACAGACCCCGTCTACAGAGCTCGCAGAAAGGAGCTAGCAGATATTGCCTTCCATTACAAACAGTGGGTACTGCCTCTCATATTTAGTTTTAATGTGCTAAAAAAGAGAAATAGTGCAATATTTAAGTATTTCTATTTTTGCTTAAAATTTCCATTCCATTATACAGTGGGCAGGAAATCCCCAGGGTAAAGTATACAGAGGAGGAAATTAACACATGGTAAGTGGGATTTCAGGTAAATAAAATCTAGAATACAATTGCACATACAATTGAAGAGTGTTGTTCAATAAGAGAGATACTGACCATTTTAGGAGAACCATCTACAATGAACTGACAAAGCTATACTCGACACACGCCTGTAAACAGTTCAATCATGTCTTCCCACTGCTTCAAGATAACTGTGGATATAACGCAGATAATATTCCTCAACTAGAAGACGTCTCAAGGTTTTTACAAGGTACAGTCCATACTATAATTACAATAAAACCTAATTAAATCAAATAACTGCTATTAACATAGTCATCTTTACTCTATTTTCACAAATTACATATATTTTTTTTTACTTCTGATTTGTATAGATTTTAGAAGTTAATGTTGTATTTCTTGTAAAAGATTGTAAAAGATTGAATATTACCTTAAGTAAAAATACTGGTATACCTAGGGTGATTTTGTGTCAATTTTTGTCAGCATTGAATAAAAAATAGATACAATTGTTTAAAATTTTACGATATAGTTTCTTTGATTGAGGGATAGTCAGTACATGTGTTTTCTCTGACTAAAACTTTATTCTAACGAATTTGATGTTCCAAACATTATCACTTACTACTATACTGCTTTATATCCAACTTGTACTAAAGTCAAGGATCATAATGACTCTGTTCCGTTATTTCTGGAATTGGAATGCGGTCAAATGTTTGGACACATGAAAACAATGTAATCAATCTGATATTTAATATTCATTCCTACAGAAAGTTTACGGATTTAATCATCGTATGGAAACATTTACTTTAACACTCTTTTTAAGTAGGTTTTGATTTTTTTCCGTAGATTGCACTGGATTCAGACTGAGGCCAGTTGCAGGATTGCTCTCATCACGTGACTTTCTTTCGGGCCTCGCTTTCCGTGTTTTTCATTCTACACAGTACATACGTCACAGTTCCAGACCTATGTACACCCCAGAACCGTAAGTAATTATCATATCTTATTTTTAATTTGAAAGATTTTAGTATTAGACTTATTTCATTGAAATATGTTATTATATTACAACACACAATTTTTTTGTAGCAAATGTTCTCAAGTTGCCAATAATGTATTTACATATTTGCTTTCCTTTTGACAAATTTTATTTGATGAATCATAGAGACGTTTGTCACGAATTGCTGGGCCATGTCCCCTTATTTGCCGATCCAGCATTTGCTCAATTTTCTCAAGAGATTGGATTGGCTACCCTTGGAGCCCCGGATGACTATGTCAAGAAATTGGCAACGGTAAGATTAATCAAATCAAAATGCATATACATCTATTTATTTTAGTAAAACAAATATTTTTTGTGAAATAAATTGTGTTAAATAAAGAAACTGAAAAAAATCAGTAGGTGGATGAAATACTAGTGGTAGCAATATCAATTAGTTTAAGTTGTATTTAAGGAATAATTGTTTAATTTTTTGGTTTCATGATGTGATCAATTGATTGACTTGCGTAATAATTTGCATAAACGCCTTTGGCGTTTATGCATAAAATTATCACGCAAGCCAATCGATTGATCATCGTCATGAAGCCAAAAAATCTGACAGTTATTCCTTATATTTACATGCCCTTGATTCTGCAAATTCACGTGCTACAAATTCCGCTTCTTTCTCTATTTGTCCCGCCCCGCACGTGGTTTTTTTTCACCACACCTATCGATGAACTTGTAGATTTATGTAGAAATAAAGTATTTTTACTATTTGAAATTTTATCTCGGACAAAGACATCGGAAATGTAAATATTAAAGATTGATTGTATGTTGTTTAACGTCCCATTTGAGAATTTTTTACTCATATAGAGACGTCACCGTATGCCGGTGAAGGGCTTCAAATTTAGACCTATACTCGGCACTCAGGGACATTGAGTAGTGAGGGCTCTTTATCGTGCCAACGCCTACAGTGACACGGGTCCTCGGGTTTTAAGGTCTCATCCGAAAGACCCGTGACTTTCAATGCTGGGCGCCTAGCGAAGGAACAGTCACTACCTATATTTACGCCTTGGGTTAGATGCGGCGCGGCGAACGAGAATCGAATCCGAACCTATCATCACGAATCGAGCGTTAAGTTGTAAGAGGGTATTACAAAAATCTTTCCTTAGTTGCTTAAAATGAAATTAAACTTATTTTCATAAATCTTACAAGTTTTAAACAAGATGTGTTTGTGAACACTGATTACCCCGTATGACAGCTCATTGTCAAGCTTTAAGATCCTCAAATACAAGTCAAACTGCAAGGTCAAGAGATCAAAAATGTCGAGAGAAAGGTCTTGTCACAAGGAATACACATATGAAATATGAAAGCCCTAGCTTCAACCGATCAAAACTTCAAAACAAAGTTAATTTTTTTCGGACAAACAAACAGACGGATGGACAGAGCAAAAACTATATGCCCCTGAATCTTCGATTACGAAAAAAAAAAACCCATTATAAACTACATGTACATCAGTTTTGCTTTAAAATCTAAGTGTTTTTGTTGATTTTAGTGCTACTGGTTTACAGTGGAATTTGGTTTGTGCAAGCAAGGGTCAGATATGAAAGCCTATGGAGCTGGTCTGTTATCTTCATTTGGAGAATTACAGGTCTAAGCTGATATTTATTTTTTTCTCAGTAGTGTTCAAAATAGAAATAATGAAAAGGCTCTGACTAAATTTATAAAATGATAATGATGAATTACAGGTCTTAGCTGATATTATTTCAATTTTTTTTTCTTATTCAAAATTTGTTGAAATTAAAAAATCCTTGAATTAATTTATAAAACGTTAATGATGGAAGTACGTACAAATTAAATAATTTGAATAAAATATATTACAACATTATCGATATATTTTTCAGTCGTTTAAATGATCAAAATTATATTTTGGTTATCTAGTACTGTCTAACGGACGCTGCAGAGAAGAAGACCTTTGACCCTGCTGTCACGTGTGAGCAGGAGTATCCAATCACAAAATACCAACCTCTGTACTTCGTAGCAGACAGTTTTGAGAAGGCTAAAGAGAAAATGAGGTTTGCACATTTAAGTGAAAATATAATTGCATAATGCAATGATAATAACACCTAATTTTACAGCACTTTTTGATAAGCTTTTTTTGGTCCTTTATATGGGTAAACAAAAGAAGTAATGTACTTTTATTTCTTATTTGTTTATACAGTAGTTAACATTTCTTTACTTTGTTTCTCGTTTGTTTATATGCTGTTTATTATTTATTAACAGAGACTATGCCAAGACCATTCCCCGCCCATTCAGCGTCCGTTACAATCCCTACACCCAGAGTGTAGAAGTGATTGAAAACAAAAATCAGATCATTAATCTCACACATGCCATTAAGGGTAAGCAATCTTACATAAGTATGGCCTTGTTTGTAAATACGTTTTGGTCGTCCGGCATATTTCATACCAATTGTTAAGTCGTTTATTCTGTCCACCTAATCAATCAATAGGGCTTAAGGCGGGTGTGACCTGTCCACAGGGGATGCTTACTCCTCTCAAGCACCTGATCCCACCTCTGGTGTTGCCAGGGGTCTGCATTTTTACCCTTATTACGAATCCCATTCTTTACTAAATTTATGAGGTTGATCACTGTTGGTTATCTTCACCGTTTACATTTTAAAAATAATTAATCTCATAAGGTGAAGGAAAAGTAAGCAAATTTACACCAGGATTTTGTCATTAAAAGTATGTAACCTCTAGTCATTGAAAGTAAACTTTACTTAAGTTATTGATGGTTAACAGTCTAAAACTGTTTTTTAAGGTAAGTAACGTCATTTGTATTATTAATGGTATTAATGATATAAATGGTAGATAGTTAGGTTTACTGATATCAAAAACTGATAAACCTTTAGAGCTTAATGTTTGTAAGAGCACAAAAGCTCATTTAAACTATTTAAAAAAAAAGCATAAACACTATTGTGGGCTTTGAGGCAGATGAAGTGTGAGAAATAAAGCCTCAAGTTCTACTACATTGTGCTTTTAAAAATGTCCAAAAGATACAACTGTCTGGATTTTGAGTTGATACCTAAGGGTATATATAAATTGGAGCATAGGCATATCATACAAATTAAGCTTGTATAACCCCAATCAAGGCATAAAAGCAAAGAACTCCAGGCAGGGCATTAAAAAAAATATATGTTTTCTTGAAATTATTTGCATTCGTTTTTGATACTGCATTTCTCAGTAAAGAGCCATAGCTGCCTCTACGACGACACGGCCGACTCAAGAATTTGAAAGGAAATCATCTGATTCTGTTTATAGATATACCTTTTCAATTCAAGATCAAACTATGTAATATGGTTTGAGGACGAGTATTATATTTTCATAGTTGCAAGTATGTCAAATGACATTCATTTAATTGGTTCAATATTCTAATTCTGAGACAAAAGATTTAGAAAATCAATAAAAATAAAACAAGTAGCTATGAATTTACAAACTTTAGAGATATATATGGCTTATCTGAGCTAAAAAAAAAATAAATAAAAATACGAGATTGAGTGAAGATAAACGTGATACATGCTTTTTACGTTCAAATAAAAATTTTCACCGATTTTGAACTTGAATAACCTAATGTTTCCATAGTTAAATTGATTTTAAACTGTGTCTGTTAATTAAATGCGGAGTCGTTAAATAAATCGGATATTGTATTAAATTTCTAACACCTGTGAAACGTGATTGATATTAATTGTGTAATTTACAGGAAAGTCCTATCTTTATATAAAGTAATAAAACAAATAGAAAGATCTTCTTAATTTTAGTTAAATACGCCATATATAACTTTAATAAAATAGTTTAGGACTGTCTTTTCCCGAGATACTTTCAAAGTGTAATGTGTATATTATAACTTCCTGAAATTATGCAGATTATAAAACATAATAAAGAAAAACGTAGAAAAGATATACAAAGAAAAAAATTTAAAAAAGCATAAATGGAAAAATGTGGGGCTCGAACTCGCAATCACCATATTTACATTCCAGCAATCATACCACTGCGCCAATGAAGTCAATGACGTCGAATGGATAAATTTAAGTCAGATTGCTAAATCTTACGATTATATGAGAAGAAAATTTGAATATATATTTTCATCATTTTCAATATGAAGACCACCTTTAACCAAAATTATCTAAATGTAATGAAGTCATATCCAAATAAAATTATTCAAAAGTTGTTTTTCTGGTTAAGGGTGGTCTTTGGCAACAGTTTGTCATCTTTAGGTGGATACCTCAATATTTACTATATGCTCCATACAAACTGGATAAATTTTATATTTATCATATGAAGGAACTATCAATATTGAAATATCATTTTTGTGTGGTTTGGTTTTACGTATGTATAAACTAATATTATATGACAAAATTTTGGATAAACAATGAATTTAAGAAATTACTAGTAGAGTAGGCGAAAATGCCTATCAAATGCGCTATGGCTCTTTGTATTTTTCGATAAAATCTTTTAAAGTCTATTTGTTAATAAATGCTTAATTGACTGTTACGTATTGCAGGTGATCTTACACTACTCGAAGATGCTTTGTCAAAAGTTGGAGGAATGTGACCAAAGAACCAGACCGATGATTTTCCTTTCAAAAGGAGTGTAAACATTGAACAGAGAGTGCTTTTCTTTTACTTATGATGCATCGATTCATAGCTTTTGTTTTCGAGAAACATTTAATTTGTATTTGGAAAAAATGAAGTTTAGCATACTTCACACTGGAAATTATTAATAGTATGAAAATATGTGTCAATTTATTTTTTGTCATCATCACGTATGTGTATATATTTTTTTGTACAGTTTCTTGTTAAATTCACACAAATATTGTTATGGTATGTGGATAGTTTTATCATCATAAATGATTTTTTTAAAAATAAAAGTATATTATTTTAATATAACTTAATTCTGATTGTAACGCGTCATTTGGTTGGAAGAAAAATTTAGATTATAGCGTATAACCTGTGTTGCCTACGTCACAATGACTTACGTCAAAAACGTATCAATCCGTTTGACGTTACATTTAAAATGTACAATTTGAAGTCATTTTTGAAGAAGAAATTGTCTTATTTTCTACACTTAATGATGGACAATCAAATTATAAGGAATGAATTTAATTGCTACCCAAGTTATGCTGGTATAACCTGGGTTGGAACAGTTTACGCTTTATAAACCGCAAAGCGGTTTACAAAGCGTAAACTGCCCCAACCCAGATTATACCAGCATAACTTGGGTAGCAATTAAATTCATTCCTTAACAACTTACGCAATCAATGAACACTACAATGTGTACATGTTGTTAAAATCAACAAAAATAATTTCTAAGCTCTACTTTTTTTGTTTTAAAAATGGTATTTTTCTTAAATATTGCAAACTGAAATGTTACCCTGTGATGTTTTTTCACTGCATCATGCATATTATTAGCTTAAAGCAGAACACAATTCGTAAAAGACAGAGATCAATGTTTGTTCGCCATATAATTGTAAAATTCTCGATAGCGACAAGAGTAACTGTGTGCTTCTTCCCCGACAGAGGAGAAAGTTACCAGTCTGAGAGAAACTTACATTGTACATCAGTTGCACAGGTCAGGGCGGTACAAACAAACACAAATACACGTACGTAACTGCAGTAAAATATAGACAAAGGTAATGTAAGATAACCAACACGAACACGTGTCGTATATTTCACGCAGGTACCCGTGACACGAAAAGTCAGGTGTAACGAATTAAAGGGTATATAACCCACTGCTGATATAGGAGATAGAAAAACTAATATGGCGAATGCTTATTTACGAGTCGTGTTCAGCTTTTAGAAAAATCTGTCATTGAGTAGCAAATCGGCCATATTTCTCATAAAATATCAATTTTGACCATTTTTATGCCCCGCCATGAATATGGCCGGGGCATATAGTGTTTGTCATGTCCGTCTTCCGTCCTTCTGTCCTTCCGTCACACTTTGCGTTTAGCTCTGTTCAAAGAAACTATCCAAGATATTTTTATCAATCTTCATATGCTGATAGATATTGATGAGAGCTATGCAACTGCATCAACATTTTTTGACCTTGACTTTTCCTTTGACCTTGACCTCACTTTTCTTAAATTAGTGTTTAGCTCAGTTTTAAAGATACCATTCAAGATAGTGTAATCAAACTTCATATGTTGATACATACTGATGTAAGCTATTCAACTGCATGAACATTTTTGACCTTGACCTTTCCTTTGACCTTGACCTCACTTTTCTTAAATTAGTGTTTAGCTCAGTTTTAAAGATACCATTCAAGAAAGTGTAATCAAAATTCATATGTTGATAGCTACTGATGTAAGCTATTCAACTGCATCAACATTTTTTGACCTTGACCTTTCCTTTGACCTTGACCTCACTTTTCTTAAATTAGTGTTTTGCTCAGTTTTAATGAAACCATTTAAGATATTTTTAACAAACTTCATATGCTGATACATACTGATGAGAGCTATTCAACTGCATCAATATTTTTTACCTTGACCTTTACTTTGACCTTGACCTCACTTTTCTTAAATAAGTGTTTAGCTCAGTTTTAAAGATACCATTCAAGTTCGTGTTATCAAACTTCATATGCTGATACATACTGATGTAAGCTATTCAACTGCATCAATATTTTTTGACCTTGACCTTTCCTTTGACCTTGACCTCACTTTTCTCAATATGTGTTAAAATTTCGTTACTAATAAACCCTCGGCGGGGTATTCATGTCCTATGGACATATTTCTAGTTTTAGTTTACTTGAGCAAATGGCTCAAGTTAGCTTTTCTTATCGAAATTTGTCCGTTTTTGGGCTGTTGTTGAAGCCGTTGCTGTAAACTACCCCAAGCATTGGACCAGAGTATTTTGTAGTGAAGGAAAATAAGTTTATTCAAATAAATGGACATTTTCCCTCAAAATGAGAGAGAGAGAGAGAAAAAAAAAAGCAAAAACTATAGGGGATCATTTATAATTTTTTTCCTCAAGAATTTCTTTGAAAGGGATGATTCAAAAGACAAATCAAATTTACCGTTCGTAGTATTTTTACAAAGTAGGTCAAAGTCGAGTGGACTTAACAGTGGTATTTATCTTTATATCTCATGACACACACAGCAAATGCTAAATAGCACATATATGTACTTATGTCTTAGATATCAAAAACATGCTGTTTATCGGTACTATGAACTATTTTTGAGGAGTAGGTCAATGGTCAACTTCAAGGGTCACGAAATCGGTAACTTGTATTTTACAAAAGCCACAGTTCCAAGCAACATATGTGCCAATATCAAACCTCCTATAGTTCTCAAGATACATATATAAAGTGTGACAGCGGACAGCCGAATGGTCGGATCACTAGAATTCGCCAAAATTTAATTGTTTCACTATCCCTAAATTCTCGAGTGATCACAAGGCTAACCTTTATCTCTGGAATGGATGCCAGACTAATCCTACGAGTGTTGCTCGAAAAGTGTGCAACAACTAACCTAGATATCTTGGATGGGAGACTGACTAACTCTGATCAGTCGCATAGTATGCAAGGATCTACCCTAAATCTCTTAGGTGGGTTTAGAGTTTGATGTGTGATATTGGATTATTGCAGCCCGGAGGACCGGGCTGCTCTATACATATAAGTTTAAGTGTTGGTATATGGGGATTGAGGTGGGAGAAGTTATTCAGAATTAAAAGTTTTCTAAACATTAAAAAGATTGTTAATCAGAATGTTCTTTCCCTTTATAAATTACGAGATACACAATATATTTACTTCCATAAAGTGAATCTGTAAAAATATATATGTTTTTCATATTTAATATATAAAGTTGCTTATCATTTACTATCGAAAAAACGACAGGTCCCTTTTTTTAGAACATCGAATTTTACTTATCGCATAAAAACGTAAAAACGTTCTTTACACAGTTCGTGTTTTATATTCTTAAAGTGATAGACATTTTTGAAAATAGGTGATGCATGTGTCTGGTTTCAATTTATATTTTATGCAGCCAACATTTACTTGAGGAATTGATAAAGTTTAAAAGGATATCGTTTTTGTTCGATTTTCATCCGACTATAGGTTTTCAAAATATTCTCGACTATCGTCTCCATCATTTAGACGCATGCCTTTTTCACACATATCGAAGCGGTTTGATGATCAAGACTCATTTCCATTGTTTACTTTATTTATTTCCCGGGCGACAATTGATGGTTACATCAATGTTTTCTTGTTCCTCCCCTGTCACAGCAATAATTGTAAATCAGAGATTTTCATATCTTGATTGGTCATCTACAAAATTAGATAAAATCATTTTGTTTCTTAACACAAGTACTCTGAAATTGATATTTTTCTTTGGTGCGAAGCATGTTCTGAGTGCGATTATTTTTTTTAAACAAGACAGGCTAAAGACAGAATAAAATGTTGATGTTGCAGGGCTTTCAACAGTCTCATTTTTAAGTCAGTGTTTCGAATTTCTATGATCGTTATAATGACCTTGTTTGCAAATACAGGCAATAGTCGGGTCGTCTTTTGATTGACATGTTTCATACAAATTGTTAGATCATTGTTATTTTTCCTCAATAATTTTGACTATGGATTACTCAGTTTTCCTGATAAAATTGATGGCTTAAAGCAGGTGTGACAGGGGATACTTATTCCTATAGGCACCTGATGTCACCTCTGGTGTTTCCAATTTGAGTGATTTGCCCAGTTCACATTTTGTTTTGTTTTCTGAATTTATGATATTGACCACATTTTCACCCTTTTCATTCACTCTTCCAACAACTCTGTCCAACAATTATTTCATTCACGGTTCAGACACATACCTGTAAAATATACCTTGACATAGCTAGAAAGTAAAGCTGCTGTGTCATGCATCCTCGTTGCTGCTGGGATGGGGTCAACTACTCTCAAAAGTAATCAATTAAATATAATAACTTAGGATTTTAAAAGTAATCGATTACATGCTGATTACATCTATTATCTAAAGTAATCAATTACGATAGATTATTTTTCTGCGGTGTAATCACAATAACTTCTGATTGTTTTAGATTAAATCAATTTTTAAAATAATGTATTTCTAGGAAAGATAATTATTTCACATGGAATATTTTTTTCTGAAATCATATATCATTTACACAGTTTTTATTGATTTAGTTATTAATATTTTTGAAATGTAGATTTAAATTTTGGTGGTCTTGATCGTTTTAAACCAAATCTAATATGTACGTTAAATGACCAGCTAATACCTCGTAGCTCATTAAATTGTTGACAAATGCAAGCAAAGAATAGTCTGAATAAGACCTTTGATACGAACTTTCAAAAAAAAAAAAAAAAAAAAAAAACTGCCTAAACTTACAAGATTTTGTTTATATTTATAATTAATATCTGTTTCACTGTATGTTCTATAAATGACTTATTTGAAGACATTTATAATTTAACTTTAAGTGAAAAGTGCAGATATTTGTCTTTTCCAGTTGTTTTCTCTGTAGCTTAATGTAGGGGGTTTGTAGATCTTTTTTCCTTTTCTACTTCTTGGAGCATTTGCTCTGGGTGGATTTTATACAGAGGTGAACTAGAGGTGACAGACTGCTAGATTTGATTGCGCTTTGTATGCTTTGTCACTAAATGCAATCCGTTTGTCCTAAAACATGTTCATAGTATTGTTGAAACTTTCTACACATAATCCTGTGGATATCTAAACAAATTCGAACTAGTTATTACATCACGTAACAATTTTCTGACACTTTATCACATATTACAAGTCTTGATAGCTCATAATTTGGA